TGCAACGAAAAAAATATTTCTTTTACCTGTTCGGGCCAAAATTTGACAATACATTAACCAATTGGTAAGAATTCATTTAGTCGAAATGCTATTATCGAGTTATATTTCGAAGAAAGTTAAGAGGCTTTTCAATTCCAGCCTAATCATTCTGCAGTGTAAATCCTAGTAACGAGATAATGCAAGCTTGGTCTTTACGCTAAGTCGGCATATGAATCTCAGTAAAGACGCTATGTTATGCAGCCGTTATTTTCTACATGTTACAGCCACACAATATTAACATTAGAACCAGTGGGTCAGAGGGTAAACGGAACTTCAAATGCAAGTTAAACCTTTTCTATGTCTACTTTTTCTTGTATGAGTGTCGATAAAGAAAACATGTATTTTTCATTATAGCCGACAATATTACTTGTATTCGTAATGATTTGATATTAAAGACTATCATTAAATCTTCTTTTTGAATTTTCTGCTTCTTTTAACATGAATGCAGGTTTTCATCTCCTGGTTAGATTGGTAAAATGCGTTTTTTTACCCCTCTTCGTCTTCCTTATCATCGCTTCCGTCTCCTTTATCGGCCTCCGAGCTCTGGCCAATAGTCATTTTATATCCAGACTGATTGGCGAAGGGGAGATTGATGATAAGATCGACGATGGCGGCCATGTTATCGACTTGCTTTGGCTAAAGCTGACTGGTCGCCCAAGTGCCAGGACATTTCATACACAATTATACACCTGTTCAAAAGAATTCGGCTTTATGCAGGTGGGTCCGTTTTTATTCACATATCCATGATATGATGATTAAAAAGTGTTACAAAGGTGTGCATTTTTTTCCAATTTCGTAACTATTTTCGGTGGTGTAAAGAAATAAGCCACTTAAGTTGGCTAATTTATATTTTACTTTCATATATACTGTCTGTCTGCTAGCATGCAACTGCGGCCTTTATTCATACGGGGAGTCAGTGGCACTTGGCGAAATAGAATATATAACTACTATGGTTTTTCGGGCACTTCTTCTTCTTCCATGTCTTTTATTTTAACGTTTTGCTCAGCAGGTCATTTTGCTACCTTTCTACAATTCTTTTTAAATATGGCATTTCACTTATTCTCTTCAGCGTTCGTATTCTGTAGAAACGGGGTGAATTTCCGCCTACCAGACTTGTTCATCGGTAGCATCCTCTGGGCCCTTTTCTACTTTGTTTAATTTTTTGCTGGTTCTATAAAATGCTGTCCAAACTTTATAGGTTCACATAATTTTGAGACATGCATGGGCCCCTGATCCTGCACAATTTATCTATAACCTGGCCTTATTCGATTTTCTTTTTCTAAGACCACCTTATTTGAAACAGCTTACCTTATACTCTTAATTTTATCCATATTCTTCCTGCTTCCTCTTTCGTACAAATTCGCTGTACTCACGGTAACTTTTCATTTCTTTATCACTATTCATTCCCATTCCAATCAGTTGGAAAGTTTTGTTCGTCTGACCTGGTGACTTGCAATCTCTCTATTATCTATTTTTCCTCTACTCATTGCAATCCTCGTAGTCTCTTCTTAAACTATTATTTTTCCCTGCAATGACTGTTGTCCAGACTTCCAATCTCAGGCTTGTTATAATAATTTTCCAAAGCTTCCCAATTTCCTATCTTTCATCGTGACTTGACTCTAAGTTGAGCATTATTTCTAGATACCAGGATAAACTTGAT